TACAATACCAAATTACTAAGAGGGCTTGAGAACAAGAAAAAGGTAAGCATTCTGAGGCAGAATTAGGTCAAGGCAAACCACAAACAGATACTTCAATTATTCCTATTGCTAATATTCAAAAATAAAGTATCTGTTCACTTTAAGACAAACTAAAGGCAATGAAAAATTCTGAACACTGAAGTCTATTGAACTACTTTTTATTTTTACATGATTCAAACTTACAAGTAAAGATCAATAAAGACATAACCAGCACTGCAGTTTTCTAGGTTATACAAAATAAAACTATCTGCCTTCAATACACAATCTTACACTTTATCATCACTTTTACCAATGTATGTTTTTTGTTGTTTGTTTTTGAGACAGAGTCATGCTCTGTCGCCCAGGCTAGAGTGCAGTGGTGTGATCTTAGCTCACTGAGACCTCTGCCTCCTGAGCTCCTGAGTTCAAGCGATTCTCATGCCTCAGCCTCCCAAGCAGCTGGGATTATAAGCACGCACCACCACATCTGGCTAATTTTCTGTATTTTTATTAGAGATGGGTTTCACCATGTTGGCCAGGCTGGTTACAAACTCCTAACTTCAAGTGATCTGCCCACCTTGGCCTCCCAAAGTGCTGGGATTACAGGGGTCAGCCATCATGCCCAGCCAATGTATTTTTTACAAATACATAATAATTTTCCCAATAATAAGTGAAACAAAACAAAAAAAAAGATAAAAATACAGTGACAATGCCAGCAAGTCTTCTTGCACAGGCTATGTAGCCAAAAAATAAATTTCAAGCATTTGAGGAATTCAGCAGATCACTTAGTCACTATGGAAAGCAGTCTACTTATGCATGAAAAGTATGTTGTTTTACCATGAAGAGCTTTATTTTATTATTTTTGAACACTTAAAACTTAATACTTTCATCTCTCCTTGAAGAGAAGTTTTTTAATATACATAGTAAAGGGATTTCATAATTCCTCAGTTAGTTAGAAAGAACTCTTTGGAAATAAATATGACTGTAGAATTTCAATAATGGCTTTGATGCAATAGTTCTGTATTCTCTCCTGGCTCTGAACCAGTCACTCAAGTTTTGCCATTGGACCACCTTACTACTTATACTTTATAATCTCACTTGAGTATCTATTAAAATGTCTTTTGACTATTCCTAAAGTTTAAATAAATTTTCATCCAATAAAGAGAGTATTAAGGAAGAAAAGCATAAAACAAAATAACTAACTCAAATTAACATTATATGGTAAGGGGTGATATATCAATAAAATGAAACTCTAGAGGCAATAGCTCACAGTTTTTTGTGTAGAAACAACTCTGATAAGATACTAGTGAAAGACAAAACAACTTTCAAAATATATTAAAAGTATCATTGGTCACTTCATAGTTATCAATTTATGGTTCACTGATTTTGGGGTATAATTTCATACTTGCAACTTCAATTTTAGAGTAAACTAATTATCACACCAGAACACAGACTCCCAAACTAATACTGCCAAAAAATTTATATGAAAGTCATATAAGTCTTCAGTAAGAAAGCCTTCTTTATTTCCACCAAGCTCAAATTCCTATTAATCTTATTTCCCTAGAAAATTTCAAAACCACTAATATCATTTTAAAGTTAATAATTCAGTATAACTTTTAAAAGAGTCTGTATTAATCAGAATTATGAGATGGGATAATCATTATATTTCTCATTCAAGTAAAAAATTCAAGATTTGCTCAAACAGAAAGCCTAAATAAACTATCTGCTTTTGAAGTTTTTAAGTGTGTCAAGTATATTAATTAGATCTAATTAGACTAAATCATTTAAACACTCTGTTCCTCATAGGATATCATTCACATTTAATTATTTTTGGTAGCAGGATTTAAAAGAAGAAACGGAGATATCTGACTACAATGGAAATTAATTTCAAGAAATTAAATATCCCCAAGCTTTAAAACCAAATCTCATTCTTTAAAACTTGACTAAAGATTTTCTAATGGTAAAATTATTTTTGAAAAGATATCAATACTAGCAGTTAATTTGATTTTCCGAAGTTGATTACTAGAAATGTATATATAAAACATATTGAGTAATTTAAATGTTTTCAGCCTTATTTCTCTAAAACAAAATAACTTTACTCACATTTTTCCCATCCAGCAATTCCATGCACTTTTCATTTCTGTTGAAGTTACCAACTACTTCAGGATGGACACAAGTATGATCCCTGCTGGAAAGAATAGTCATTGGGACCCCTGAATATGCCGTCCTCCGGAGCTCTCTAGTAATCTGAGCAATCTGCTTGTGTGTGCGCGTCCCAAAATATATTTTGGGTATCTTGGATTTCCCCGTGTGATCTTTCTTAATGGTATTCAATGACTCTTGACTGTTTCCTTGTTTAGTAGAACAACAGCACCACGAACAGTGGCGAGGGGGCTGTAAGAAAAGAAAGAAATGATAACTAATATCTAAACTACCATAAAAAAATGTTATCAAACCTCACATGGAATGAGAACCTGTAAATAATGAATAACAATAATCAAATAAAGAGAAATTACAAGATATTACAGTATCTAAAACTTGCCATTAAAGAAAAAACTACAAATTCAATTTAAAATTGGTCCTCATTATTTCTTTTAAGTTACAAATGATGTTTCCACATTTGCATTCTTTCTAACATACCACTCTAACTCTCCAATTCCAAATGTTTTGAGTACATTTTAACTCTCCTCTTTCATAAGTTATAAAAATGATGAAAGAAAGAAAAATTTTAATTTTTGCTTAGGCTTTATATGAACTTGTGATATTACAGTTTAGAGTTAATAGTTTTGTTCACAGCATAGTTCAAATACTCCTTAATATATCAATGCTTTTGAAAAGCTTTTAAATATAGTTTACAAAAGAATAGATTTATCAAGTTGAATCTAAAGTATCACTTAACAACTTCAAGAAGAGAAAATTCTTCTTTAGCAAAGGTACCAAAATGAATGTAAAATATTAATATTTAATAATGAAAGCAGGTTGCTTGTGTGGAACAAGTATATCTGAAATTCAATTACCTGTCATGGAATGCAAACCCATCAGTAAAATTATCATCCAGGATAGTTTTTCCTGGATAATTTCACTCATAACTCAGTTTCATAATTTAAATAGTGATATAAATGTCTCTTTAAACAAACCATATGGAATATCAGGAATATAGTCTACTTGATTTACCTGATTTTTCTCTTCTGTTTCCAAATTCTCAAATACTAAAAAAAAAAAGGTTTAATGCTATATATTAGAACTCACAGGTTCTTAATAACTACTCCCTTCTAAGTCTCAATTATTACATCAAATGACACAGAACAAAGTCTCATTTTAGAGAAATAGTGTAAAACGGTAATTTATAGAAGTGGTCACTGATGGGGAGGGAAAAAAGGTAAATAGCATTGTAACTTAAAAGACTATGTGCCACATGTATAACTATGTAACAAACCAGCATCTTCTGCACATGTACCCCAGAACTTAAAATATAACAATGAAAAAAAAAAAGACTTTGTGCTAAAGAGTTTTAATTTAGTAGAAAACACTCTACTTGACTTTTTTTTTTAATTATTGTAATCAGTAAGATTAGCCTTCATAAACAAATGCTAAGTCATAGCATGTTACACCACAGTACTGGGGATCAAGCTGTCTTTTAGCCTCAACTCAGTAGAAAAGCAAGTTCAAATTACTCCCAGTCTCACTCAACCTTGTCCACCATTAAATATTACAATACATGATAGAATGGATGTAAATGTGACCCTTCTGGAGCTGTCACTCACTGGGATAAAAGGTTCACTGATGTGCCAAATAAACAGTCAGTCAAAGCAGATAAAGTTACAGCCGTGCTGGAATTGTTACATTCTCTTCTCAGGTTGCCAGTAACAGCAGATTTCATTACAGAGTGCTGCCACATTAAATAGCCAGTTCCAAATATCCTGCCTTCTATATTGAATAATTACTTATTCACTAAAAGGATAAAAAGAAGAGTTATGAATAGGGCTCTTGTCAACAGGGAGGCAGGAAACAGCTGACATGTGGTTTATGTTACATATGTTGCAATATCCAACAATTTATGGTCACACAGAAAATGGAATGCAAATTATATCATGATATTCCTGACTCAATTCTTTTTTGGCTTTTACGATGATCACATTAATCAATTAACATACAAAATGAATTAAGGTAACTCTAGTAGAATTAATTTACTTTTTCATACCATCAGTCTTTTCACTCAATTATACTATTTCTCTTCCTTATGACATAGTTAAATTCATGTGAATACTAGAACGCCATGGCCCAATGCAGGGTTGGGCCGTAGTATTTATAGATATAGAATATAATGTACATAGATACATTATATTGAAGCATAAAAGTAATCTAATAAAGTAGCTTTTCTCAAGGATGGGAAAACTTTCTGATGTTACACTTTTCAACATTAATTCCACTTAAAGTTTTACCATCTACTCCTTTTAATTCCACCTTTTCCCTTGGCCAAAAAAATTCAAACAATACAGAAATTTTTTTTAAAAATCAACCATCCTGGCCAGGCATGGTGGCTCACACCTGTAATCCTAGCACTTTGGGAGGCCAAGGCAGGTGGATCACGAGGTCAGGAGATCGAGACCATCCCAGCCAACATGGTGAAACCCCATCTCTATCAAATACAAAAAATTAGCTGGGCATGCTGGTTCGTGCCTGTAGTCCCAGCTACATGGGAGGCTGAGGCAGTGGAATCATTTGAACCTGGAAGGCAGAGATTGCAGTGAGCCGAGATTGTGCCACTGCACTCCAGCCTGGGTGACAGAGAGAGATTCCGTATCAAAAAAAAAAAAAAAAAAAAATCCAACTGTCCCATCACAAAGAATTTAGTGTATAACTTACTGACCTTCATATATACATATCTTTTATATCTTTTTTCAAATAAAAATGGATGCTAATATACAGTTTTACAACTACTTTGTTTTCAAAGTTTTTAATTTTATTAATTTTTTTTATTTAGCCTCATGAAACACAAGGCCTCAAAAAAACTGGATAAAGACTCATAGCTATTCCTCCCCACGGAAATCTTTAGTAAAAGGCAAAAGATTTATACGATCTGAAGAGAAACCAGAGTACGAAGTTTTTAATTTTAAAAGGGATAAGTTTGGCAAGAATAATTTAATTTTACTGATCTTAAAATGTTATACTAGTACCAGTACTAACAAAAGCAAAAGATCAAGAACCAGTTTCAGAAAACTTTTCTCACTAGAGTTCACTTTATTTAGGACCTTAAATCTGTTTTTTACTCCATAATTCAGAATATTATCAACCATAGCTAACTTTATATTAAACATGTTTTTGTTTTTAAGTTGTAAAGTGATATGAACAAATTATAACATCTACAAACTTGAGTAGACTCCTTAAGAAGATGGTTTTCAATGGGTACTTAGGCAAGTAGGGTATAAGGTGGGAATTAAGAAAGTAAGTTAATTCTTTTTTCTTTGCATTACTAAACAGGAATTATTTCTTCAGAAACGATCTTCTATTAAAATGTCCATTTAAAAGATTTGGTATAAGCCAGGCACAGTGACTCACATCTGTAATCCCAGCACTTTGGGAGGCCGAGGCAGGTGGATTGCTTGGGGTCAGGAGTTTGAGACTAGCCTGGCCAAAATGGCGAAACCCCATCTCTACTAAAAATACAAAAATTAGCAGGGCATGGTGGCATGCTCCTGTAGTCCCAGCTACTCCAGAGGCTGACGCAGGAGAATCACTTGAACCCAGGAGGCAGAGGTTACAGTGAGCCAAGATCGCACCACTGCACTTCAGCCTGGGTGACAGGGCAAAATTCCATCTCAAAAATAAATAAATAATAAAATATAAGATTTGGTATGATCATATTTGAAGACAGAAAAACTGATTATAGTAATATAACGGAAGCATCAAAAAGTCATTTATTTTGTAAAAAAAGTTATAAAATAAAAAGTTATAAAAATTTGTACCAAAATCAGCAACTTTCAATGCTCTAAGAAAACTAGAGGAAGGGTCCTGATGCCAGCAATGTCAGGAGGCCAGAATATCCCCCAATCGAATCACCAGGCTAACACGTCATGGGCTCTCTCTGAAACCCTTTGACTCAGGAGTCTTAAAACAATTAGATGAATAAAATTTAAAAATTTCATATTTCTTATTATTTTTTCTGCTAACAAATAATCATGCTTATCTTTCACAAAGACTTTTTTCTTTTTCCTTTGCTGTTTAAATTGACAGCAATTTCCTTTTCTCCAGGGAACTAGAGAATAAATTTTAAAATATCCACTCTCATCCAATATATCTGAAAATCAATACATAAAACACATAGGCTTCCCAAAATTTGTAAACTCTAAGACCTCTAAGAGGCTACACAGTGCCAGAACCAAACTCTTTAAGAAATGGCTTCTTCTCCAAGGTAGAAACTGTTCAGAGTCCTTCGACTTCAAGAAAAGGCAGGAAAACCCAACCCAAGTAACTGTAAAAATATACTATCATTTAAAGAAAAACACAAGAGATACATGCGGATGTGACAGCTGTAAGACTTCCATATGTAGCAGTCAATTGTTTAAAAATACATTTCAAATCTACAATTATGAAAATTGTTCTTAGAATATCAGCAACCAAGGATTTTCAGAAAATTTCTCTTGTGTTTAATACCTTCTATTCCCTCTCTTGTTATATTATATAGAGACATATATAAATTCTTTCAAAGATGAAGGATTCGAAGATTTGATCTTGAAAGAAAGGCAAATTGCTGAGTCCTTGCCACTATTTCTTTCACAAGCTATAATTATAAGTTCAAATGGCAACATACCACAATGTGAACTTACAATTTTGTAATAAGTTTTCTCCAAACTTTCCCACACACACACACACACACACACACACACGCACGCACACAAATATACTAAGCCTGAATACCTGAAAATACCTGAAAAATGAGCATAATGATTAAATATTTTCAGAAATGGAAAATGATAAATAGTTAGAAACTAATTCTATTGCCAAAGAAGAAGCTCCTTTCCTAACTGAATCAGAAGAGCTTCTCAAAGGAGACTATAACTTGAATTCTAAAAGCAGGCATGAGTATAAAAACTAAGTACATACAGAAATAGAGACAAAAAGAGACTGAAGAGAAACCTGTTTGAATAAAATAAAAGGAAAACTAGGTCAATGAAACAGTAACTTGTATTTTTCCATAACTTTCCACATGTGCATGTATTATCTTTCCAACCACACTGCAAATTCCTTGAAGACAGAAATTATGTCTTACATTTCTTTTTATAGCTCATTCATTGAGGGTAGCGTCTTGCACATAACTGTAACTTAACTTTCTTTTAATTGGTGAACTATGACTAAATGTCCCTGAACCAACTACTGTGCCCATGCATTACAATTAAATCTGACAGATGCTTAAATGATGTCCTAATTTGAAGTGCTGCACATATCAAAAAGTTACTTCAAAATCCAGATTAGATTTTTTAAAAAAAGTACAGGACAACGGTTATTTTTCAAGGCCAGAAAATCATTTTATGCTAGTATTTTAGTCGTGACATATATCCCAATATTTTCATTATTAATAGTAACTGCCATTTTTTAAGGCTGTCCTTGCGCTAACCATATTTTATGTCATATCCCATTTCATTCATTCATTGACTCAAGAGACATTAGAATCCCTGATATATCAAGCCACGAAGAAGACAATGACAAGGATTACCTCATCTTATTGACAAAGAGAGCTTCTTTTTTATTTTTTTGAGAGGAGTTTCACTTGTCGCCCAGCTGCAGTGCAGTGGTACAATCTCAGCTCACTACAACCTCCACCTCCCGGGTTCAAGTATTCTCCTGCCTCAGCCTCCCAAGTAGCTGGGATTACAGGTGCCCACCACCATGCCTGGCCAATTTGTGTATTTTTAGTAGAGGTAGGGTTTTGCCATGTTGGCCAGGCTGGTCTCAAACTGCTAACCTCAGGTGATCCACCCTCCTCAGCCTCCCAAAGTGCTAGGATTACAAATGTTAACCACCACACTTGGCCAAGAGCTTCATTCTTAAATTGTTCTACAAAGCGTAGTTCTTGAAGTTTATCAAACCATTTTCACTCATAAACCTAGGAATCATTTAAAGTTAGTTCTATTATTTTATGAATGCAATTACAAAATATTCATAAGTATAAACTTCAAGTTTTATTTTATAAAAATTGTTTTAACTTATTAGTTGACATTTAAATCACATATTTTATAACAAGATCCATGTTATATCTCCCAAGGGAAAAATAAACAAAAACTTTTAATTAATAGACTCTTTGGAGCAAGAGTTAGCAAAAGGGCCAGACAGTAAACATTTTAAGCTTCGAAGGCTATATGGTCTCTTCTTCCATAGGAAAATATCTCTTATGATCCAAATGTAGAGAAGGATTTCTTAAAACAATAAACCAAAAGCACAGATGACTGAAAACACAGCTTCATTAACATGTTAAACTTCTATTTAAAAAGACATCTTCCTTACAGAAAGGCAGAAAAATAGGTTAAAAGCGGGCACAGGCTGACAGAAGATATTTGCAATGCATACAACCAAGTGAGGATCAATATCTACAACAATTAAAGAATTCCAATAAATCTATTTTTAAAAGACAAACCCTACAGGAAACCAGGAACAGGCATATCACAGAAGCAAAAAGCTGAAAGGCTAATAAATATCTGAAAAGTTGTGCCATCTAAGGTAAAACTTCACTACTAATCAGGAAAATGATAATTAAAACCATAATTAGATTCCATTTTCTATCCACCAGATTGGGTGATGGAGAGGCTATGAAGAAACTGTTATTCACTGCTGATCTAAGTATAAATTGGCACATTTGGAGAGCAAATTAGTGAAATCAAAGATACATATACCCTTTGACCCAGCATGACACCATTAGGTATGCATGCTAGAGAAACTCTTGCACATTAAGACAGATACAAGAGGAATATTAATTGCTGCATTGTTTTAATAGTGAGAAAAACAAGCTCAAGCTACATGTATCAACAGAAGAATGGATAAGTAAATTCTGGGGCTTTTTCCAATCAATGGAATATTATAATGAAAAAATATGAATGACAGTTGTATGCATCAACATCGATAAACATGAACAATGTTGAACAGGCTGAGTATGGCTTAAACAAAATTTTATTTTCCCTATAAAATTCTAAATAAGTTGACGATGGAAAAAAATATATAAAACTTCAGGTAGAGAGTGAGGAATCACTACTATGGAAGATAATCTTTAGAGCTAACAATTGTCCTGAAAAATATACCTGAAAAATGCTAGAAGTGCTGAGAACACACACACACACACACACACACACACACACACACACACAGAGTAAATACACTCTATTCTGGTTTCTCCTCAGTTGTTTCATACTCAGCAGAATAGCCTTCATTTTCACCCCTCCTCTCCAAAAGTTTTCAACCTAATTTATTAGGAAATGGGTTCTCAAGTTAAGGTTCATGGGCTGTTACAGAGGGTTTGAGATCACCCAGAAACTACAAACACAATTTTCTGTGTGTTTTTAGAAAGTGAATCCATAACTTGTATCAGATGCTCAAAGGAGATTGTGACTGATTTGGGTGAGGGCTTTATTCCAGAATTTATATCTGGTTTTATAACAAAAATCCAATGTAAACAACATTTTCTTTACAACCAAATTAGCCAGACGTAGTTATTCAGTAAAGGAATAAAAAATGGTCAAAAAAAGACAATTTCATAAAGGTTCCTCCACTGCTTCTGAACTCATTTCTATTTTAATGTCTGTTAATTACTTAATACTAATACTAAATACTTAGTTCACTAATGTATATTAGTACTAATACTAAAATACTTAGCTCACTAATATATATTTCTAACTTCATTTTACAGATAAAAAAGGAAATTGAATAGAATTATTCAAGTTCCTACAAAATACACAACAAATTTGTGGAGAAGTTGAAATTCATAACCTTACATCTTACAGCAAAGCTTTAACAGGATTGTTTTCAACTACCACTTAAGCAAAAATGAAAAATACTGCCCTTTATTTCACAAAATCATCCACATGAAGAGCTAATGGTAAAAGGCCAATGAA